TCACTGCATAATGTGATTAGTTTGTATTTGATATGTGATTGACAGAAATTTGTGTTATTTCTGTTGTTGGCAGACCATAAATACTTATAACACAAGTTGACAGCAGGTGTCTGGAAGGCAGTCGGTAAGATACCGAATCTGTGATAAGGTCAAAATTAAGGAAGTTGGTATCATTCATTTAATAATATTTGTCTTTCCATCTGTTGTTTAAATACGTAAATACTCAAATATTAAACTCTGATATTGCCTTTTGTTTTGTATGTTTATAAAACTTTGTCTCTCAACCTAAGAGAAGGGCCTAAATTGAGGGTATTATGGAACTGGGTCCATAGGAGAATTTGCAAGGGAGGAACTAAAAGGATGGCGAAGAAATTGGCATGATGAGGAGCTCTGTAATTCATACTCTTAGACATATATTATTGAGTGATCAAATCAGGAAGGGTAGGATGGGTGGGGTATATAGTATGCATGGGAGAAATCAGAAATGCATACAAAATGTTGGTCAGAAACACTAAAGGAAAGAGACTATTTGGAAGAACTGGGCATAGATTGAAAGGTAATATTTAACTGGTCATAAAGAAATGGGGAAAGAGGGTGTGTGGCTCAGGTGAGGATTGTGGTCATTGTGATGTAAATTTGTCTTCTAAAAAGAGAAAAATTTGTTTATCTTACAATTTTTGCAAATTTGAAATGGCTTTCATGGAACTAGGGGCTGTTAAACTATTGAAATGTCTTTACAGTGTAAGCTTGCATATCTTATGCCACCATATTTGGTGTTTTATATACTTATCCTTGTAGCATAAGAACATTATAAACAAAATGAAAGTAACCAAACTCAGCTCACTCATCACAAAATTTGTATTTGTTGGAGAAATGTTAGACATAGTGGCTTTCTAATTGGTATACTAGCTTCTTAGTAGATGAGTGACAAAGGAAGAAGGCTAGTCCGTTGATGACAATGATTGTCATCATAAAAATCTTGGCTTGTTATGAACAGTCTTTGAAGAGTTAGCTGAAGAAGAATAGAGTTGTGTTTCTAGTAGGGCACGCTATACTGATGGCTGTACAGACTGACGAATGGGTAAACAGTATATAGAAATTTCCATCACAATCTTCCTATATGAATGTATGTGGTTGAGGCTTGTGATTGACAATCTTGGATGTCAACCATTCTGTAGTAGAGGCTCGCTGTACTGTGCTTGATGCTGTTGGTATGATCAAGTGCCCCAAGATAGTTGTTTTCATGTGAAACATATTTACATAGGTTTAGAAGGTTGTCCACTAGCAGCTGTGATTTGAGTTTAAAGTTTGTGGTTTACTATAAGTGGCTGCAATATATTGCTGGGTTATTCATGGATTCTCTAGTGTTTTTTTTTAATTCTTCTGTTGAAGAGTAGCATTGAACAGAGAAATAGTTTCACAACATTCTTTTCAGTGAAGATAGTGGAAATGTACAGAATTGTTGTCATACAATAATAATTATTGTGGTAATCTTTGTACAGTGGCTTGGACCAAAGAGTTAATGTTGCCTATGATACTAGCTTGTAGGTAGAAGAAAATTGCATATACAGCAAATATTGCATTTGATGTCTTCAGGGTTATTGTTTAGTGGGGTGATTTCTGGAAGCCATATGTGGGATGTGCAGTAAGAGATGAGTTACATTTTATGGTGCTGATTGGTGGAGCAGAGGAGCAGGCTGCTGTCCCGCATATGGTTGAGGGAAAGATGTGACAAAACATTTTTATTTATGAACATGTAATGAAGGAGGGAGGTGACAAAAGAGGTGTTGGTGACCATATTAGTTAGAAAATGACTTCCAGTGATTGTGTGGAGAGGAGAGGAGGTGATTATTTGACCATGAGGTTTGCAGAAGAGTGATGGAGAAAGAGCCCTTTTGATGGTACTTTGAAGGAAAAGAGGCGGAAGAAGTCTTGGGTCTATGAGAAGTGGGAAGAAATATCTTTTTGAGGGCCTGCCTGGAGGGAGAGTAGGTGAGGAGAATGTTTGTGTGTATGAGGTAGCCTCGGTATTTTTGGTGGCTCGGGGGGAAAACAGATGAAGCATGGTTTTGGTTAGCCTATACCATCTTCACAGTTAAAATTATGGGGGTGTTTGGGTATTCACAGATTAGGCAGGGGACAGTAACTTTAGAATATTTGGCTACTGCTGATCTCTTGTTCTCCAATCTGGTGTCTTTGATGTATTCTGTAATTATGGTGGAGATGTGGTGTCTGGTTTGGCCAGTATCCATTGTGATACAGGAACTCAGGATCTTGTAAATACTTGATTGAGTTGAGAGTTATCTGTCTTGGTGAAATTGAGTGTGAAAGCCATGATGTTGATTGGTGTGTATATTATTTGAATGCCATGTTTCCGCAGTAACCTGGAGATGCAATCAGTTGTCTTTTGGATAGGAGGTATGCCATGTGGTTTGTTTTCCTGGTATTTCTCTCGGCAGGTCTGGGTTTAGACATTTTGTTGATATTTTGTATGGTGTGGTTGTTGGCTCAGAGAACGAACCTAGCATGTTGTAGTTCTGGTGCTTAGATGCCTCATCACAAATGGGTTTGTTCTGAGCCAGTAGGTGGTATGAAACTGCCTGTAGATGTCAGTCAGTGGAGGCAGCTTTTCTATTGATGGCATACCCCACTGAGTTTTCTGGGTGTTGGTTGACCATGATACCCGGAAAGGGTAGTTGTCAATTCCTTTCCAGCTTCATGGAATGCTTGATGTTTGAGTGCCTGGAATTCAGCTTATGAGCAATTTGTCCATGTGGCCAAACTGAAAACACATTCTCCACATATCTGTGCCAGCATTTCGATTTTATTAGGCTTGAGATGTTGATCCTCCTTGATTTAATCACCCTAACAATATCAGTTGAGTACAGGCTGTGTAGCTCATCACTATGCAATTTTCTCTGTGATCTGTATTCCTCCCTTTTAGGTCCAAATATCCTTCTCAACACTGTTCTCAAAGACCCTCAATCTATGTTCCTCCTTCAAAGTGAGAGACCAAGTTTCACACCCATATAGCACAACTGGCAAAATTACGCTTTTGAATTTTTTAACCTTCGGTTTTTTACAGGAGGACAAAAGATTTTGGAATGAATGATAGCAAGCATTCCCTGAATTTAATGTGCTCTTCATTTTGTCATGAATGTTATTCTGACTTGGTAGTATCAAACTTCCTTTGGCGGTGGTCCCATGTTATAGATTTACAGCATGCAAAAGAACCTTATGAGTGTAATATGAGATATTTTGTGAGCAAAATTTCAGTGGCCATTTCTCACCCAAGTCCTGATTCACCGCTAGATGGCAGTCGAATCAGGTTTGAGTATAAATTGTGTAGAGTTACTACTCTCACTAACACCGGAACGTCCATTGGGTGTTGCCAGACACGGAAATAAATAATCTCCAAGTTCTTGAATTTGTCACATTTTTGAACAGTTTGTTAGCTGTCCTTATACTCTGGTTCTGTCTTGAATTCTGATGTTGAGACGTGATCATATATTAATACTTGTCTTTTCTGCTTTTATTTTTAGACCAACATTTCTACTAGCTCGTAATAGTGCTTCTGCGTTTGCTTTTATAGTATTTATATTATTGCCCAACAGATTAATATTATCAGCATAGACCAAAAGCTGATGTGTTCCATTCAATTCCAAAGTCACCCTAATTTTCTTGTACCTTCCTGATGGCATAGTTTAAGGAAAATTGAAAAGCAGTGGCGATAGAGCATCTGCCTGTTGTGAATAGGCAATGTATCAGAGAGATGTTTACCTGCACGAATTTTGCTAGAGGTTTCACTTAAACACATTTTAATTAGCAAAATATTGAAAAGGGCTTCTCTTTTAACTGAGCCAAATGCTTGCTTGATGTCTATAAATAGTTGGCGGACTGTTCCATTGTACTCCCACTTTTTCACTAGTATCTTGCAAATGTAGAATGTTTGATCAGTTGTAGATTATTATGACAGAACCCACACTGATAATTCTCAGTAACTTCATTGGCATATGGAATCAGCCTTGCCAGGAGAATGTTGGATTACATTTTGTAGGCAGATGATAAGAGGGGGAGAGTCCTTGATAATTATTACAATTAGTCTTATCACCCTTCTTATGAATTTGTACAGTAATAGAGAGTCTTTCCAGTTATCTTTTTACTGTGTAGTTATGAGAAAGGTGAATATTGGTTAATAGATTCTTTTCTTTAATTTGTAAAATTCTCAGGTTGGGACAAGTAGCTATGAGAATGCAGCAACATCAACAGCATCAACCCCTACCGCAACAGACACAGCAACGACAGACCATTTTAATGGGTATGCAGCCTCAGGCAAGCGGTCCTGGTAAGATTATGTGATTTTTGTTGCATTGTAGGTGTTAATGTCTAAGATATGTCGTATTATTGTAGAAATATTTTCTGCCCAGTAGATAAAGGTTTTAATGTGATGGTAGTGTTTATGGTCATCTGCTTTTTATTCAACTTGTCAGTGGGTGCAGCTCATTGGTGAGTAATGTAATTTCTCTTGTAAGTGTAATGTAGACATTTTCATTATGGGTGTAAATCCAGTGCCATTTCTACTTCATGCCTTTTGTGCTGCACCTCAATGTACAGGTTTGTTATAAAGTAGCTTTACAACTTCAAATAATTTGTAATTACCATATAGTTATAAAAATTAAGGAACACAATACACAAACATATTGAGATAAATCTAGTGACGGTTTCTTTAAAAACAGTCCACATATTTTTTCTGAACCCAGCACACACAACAGATTAACTTTGGGGTTGACATGAATGTTTCTAAGCACCTGTGTGGCTTTTCGGTGCCCTACACATGAACACATAGTGTTGACACTCATTAACATGAAAAGTCATTTGTCACAGGAAATGTTTTGCTTGAGCAGGTAGTTCTTATCCTCAGGTTTGCCAACATATCAACACAAAATGTTTTTCACTTCACTTTGCTTTCATCTGTGATTGCTTGCAGTAGTAAACAGCAAGGTTCTGGTTGCAAATGTTTCTGTAGCACTTGGAAAATGGTTCTTTCACTTTATCTGCAAATTGCTGTTGGTTTACGGAGTTGTAAGGCTGCTTTATAACAACCCTTATAATTGATACAAAAAAAATTCTCCCAGTCATTTGTCAACATAGGATCAACAAAATTTAATTTTGTGTTTCTATCATTGTTTTTCAATCATGTGTCTGCTGGCTGCTGCAAACTGGTAATGAATTACTGACTGTTTTGTCTGGTGTCTACTGGCATGTGGAGGAAAGAATTAAAACTCCTTGCAAAGTAGAACAGTTTCATGTTATGGGCACTCAGCAGTTTGGAGGTATTTAGACATCCTGGTTGCAGAAAATTCTGACATTATGACAAGAAGTGATCAGTTTCTTAATGAGATTTCTGGTTATCATTGTGGTGACTGCAAATGTCGGTCTTCTGGGTTGTTGTGCCATGTAGTCTGATGCTGGAGGCAGCAAGCACTTTATAAACATTGGTAAGCTTCCACCAAAGGACATGATGCAACTACCCAGAAGATAGCCGTTGTCTGTTAGTTTATTGGTGAACAGGCTTTGTGTGTGATCAGAATCAGGTGAATTGGATGTTGTGGCTGGACTGAAGGTTATGGCATTGTACTAGCTCATCTGTGTTGGCAGAATTTCTTTCTGATTCCAAAAATGTTACCTGCAAGTGGCAAAATATAGCAACTCTATTTTTTGTGTTTGCCAAATTTGGCTTAATAACAGGCATGGAAAGTATATTTAGAAAACATAGTAAACCATTTATTGTTGTGTTTAAATATATATATATATATATGTTTCATGAAGTGTTCCAACATGCAGTTAAACATATGTGGAGGTAGGTAGTATTATAGTATGTCACTTTTAAACAGAATATACCAAAGTGATTTGAATTTGTGGCACCTAATATTGTATTGTTTCCTGAAGCTTGATGCATGATGTTTGCTTGGCATACAGTCAGGTTATATTGCTGCCATCTATGTGTATAGGTCTGTACTTCCTCAATGTTAAAACTTCCATGAGTCAGTACTGGAAGTATGCACATAAATGTTATCCTTCTGTATAAGCATTCGTGCAAATTTTGGGATCGTGTAATAATTATAATAATGCTTTTTTCATAGCCCGAGCTAGATAGTACAGGAACATTTGCTCACTAGAGGACCCAGGATTTCAGCAGTAAAATTACTACATGCGTACCTCATTTTATTGCTCTTCGCAGATAATGCATTTTTTACAAATTGAAGGTTTGTGGCAACCCTGCATCGATCAAGTCTGTCGGCTCCATTTTTCCAAAAGCATATGCTCACTTCGTGTCTCTTGTGTCACATTTTGATAATTCTCGCAATGTTCTCACATTGTTTTTTTAGACACAATGCTATTGCACACTAATAGACTACAGTTTAGTGTAAACATAACTTGTATATGCACTGGGAAACCAAATATTTGTGTGACTCGCTTCACTGCAGTGGTTTGGAACCGAACCCGCAATTTCTCTGAGGTATGCCTGTATTTATTCACTAATGATATATAATTTTTGTATGGCATACCTTATTTTTTTTTGTGAAACTACATCATTTCACCCTTTGGTCTGTAGTGGAGTGTTTGATGCATTCTTGGAACATTTTATCGCTTGGTTTGTAGTCTTTTCACATTTTATTTTTGTGATATAAATATGTACTCAGTCGTATACCTCATTTCTACACATTCGTTCAAGCAAGGTCATTTAAGGAGTAACAAGGGCTTTTTGAAATGTAAAAATTGGTGAGGAATTTAGAGACAGTGGGAAGCCTCATGTGTGGGAGGCCAGAAGCTGTCTGATCAGATGTTACAGAATGTAAAGGGGGTGCAGATAGCGTCACCTTCCAAATCTTAATGTAGGCTTCCCAGAGATACTTGAGTTTACTATATTGTGTGTCATAGAGCCATAAAGAAAGCAAGTGGCATACTTACCTTGTGTCATTGGTTTGGGAGTTGCTTCTGGTGGATGAAGAAAGGCATGTGTATTTTTATTTGTGGTTTCTGGAATGAATATTATGGAACACGCTGGGAATTAGAATCTCGTGTAGTTTCCAGATGAATCATGATTTCATCTCAGTTAATATTTGTACTTGCAAAATGCTTTTTGGAATCAGTTTAATCCACATGCACTGTATAAAGAACTCTTGCTTTCCACAAAACTTTGTGTGTGATGTTCTGTTTCCCTGACTAGAATTATTTTGTCTTTTTCTTTGACTGTGCTGTGAACACAGAGGTTAACCAAATATTCAGTATTTTTGTCAGTTCACATATGTGGATATACTTCTAACTGTTGGTTAATTACAAGAATGTGGGGCAAGTTGTTACATATCAAGTGCAGGCATGAGGAAAACTGAAAACTTTTTTGGGAGACCTGCTTTTGTCATAAGACCTCTGGCTGACTAGGGCCCCAGATTTATGGGTCTAGATAAGCCTTGTACCATTGATGGCCTTGTAAAATATTTGCCAGGAGACTAAAGCCATCTTACGTGTGCATTTGCCAGTTTGGAGCATTGCATCCGGTTGAGCATGGGTGCTGGGCTGTCAATAGTTTCACACTGACAGGTATATGTGCAAGATCTGACCACCATTGGTGCATATATAGTGGCATTATTTCTGAAAGTATAGGGCCTCCTGGGAGGGGTCATCTTGTATTTTATTGCATGGGACAAAGGTATAAAATCTGGTTATTAATTAAAAAATCTCTTCTTGTATTTTAGCTGAACAGATTAGGATCTTTTGATGAAGGTATTATTATTATAAAAATTATTATTATTAGTGTTATTAGTGGACTCATGTTACTGTAACCAGGCATGTGTACTTGGTGGCATGAAGTTTTAACAATTCATTCAGAATGTATCTGGTTCAGACGTGAAGTGTTGTCCATCTGGATTGGATTTTTTGTAATTTTTCTTATTCGCTCCAGCCAGACTTGGGTGTTATATCTTCTTGCAAAACAGCCATCCATTAACCATGTTTTACTTTGCTTCTTCTGTAAAAGCACTGTTGTGATGACATTGCCTGTATTGGTGAACTGTTTGCAGGCCAAAATATAGCTGGAATTGCACAGGTTTCCCCCCCAAAATATTATGAAAAAGTAAAAGTAAAGTAAAGCCGCCCCACTATACGCCATGTAGGCGCTTGGAGGGTGAGAAGGTATAGCTCCTACTCATTCTTAACCTCTGCACTAGGTGCACTTTACCCCTGGGAAAGGACCCGGTACCCATTGGATAGGAGGCTGGGTTGGCCCCAGAGCAGGTCTGGACACAAAAGCTAGAGGAAAAATCCTCTTCTCCCATCGGGATCGAATCCCGGTTGTCCAAACTGTAGCCATTCACTATACTGACTGAGGTACCCTGGCTTATCAAATGTTATGATAACATAGTAAAATTGGTAAGAAAGTGTTAATTTATGTGTGAATGTTTGAGGGTGAGAGTGACATTTGTTTGTGTATGTGGAACTATGCAAATACATAAAAGCCATATTTGCTTGTCAACAGTCATACCTCTGCATCACAAACTGAAATAATAAGCGATGCCCATTTTCAGTTTGCTTTCAGTTGTACAGGTATACTTGCATATGTTATTTTCATCAGTCAAACCAGATAAGTTGCAGTCAGCCAGTCTTACCATGTTTTCAGAAAGCTATTTCCAAAATAGTTTCTGTTACTATGATGGCACACCTAACAATGAATCAAGATTTTTGTTATTCACAAAGCATATGTTATACCAGCTCCTGTTTTGACGTAAATACGTCTATAAGGAAGGGTCATTCGGCAAAATAGTGTAACGAAAACGTGTAACGAAAATGTGCAACGAAAATGTATAAGATCCGTATCAACAAATCGACAACAATGATTAGCTTGCGTGCATTGTTATGTTACCTAGGAAATGTCATCTGTTTGCTCGGCATTGTTGTGTTATATTACTGCCGTCAACAATCCGCTTTCGTAACAAGAAGGATGACATTGAAGATAACAACATTACATTTCATTTCTTTACATTACATTTCATCACATTACATTACATTACATTACAGAGACGTAAATATAATTTAAATACAGAGACGTATTTACGTCAAATTCTCCGGAACCGTGGTTCCACTGTCAATTTTTTATTCAAGAAGTACTCTTACATGTGATCTGAGTTGCTTGGAAAGTGTAATGACAATAGTCATGAAAGTGGTTATATGCATTAATTTTAACAAAAGACTTTGAAATTTATTGTTCATATGTCACAGTTTACACACAATTCAACTGGCTCTGTGTCAACAGTACCATAATACTAAATGTTAAAACTCTATACTTAAAAGTCTGGTTGACAGCCACTTAGTTCAGGGGTTGAAGTACCCTATCCCATATGATGGTCAAATTGTTTTAAAAGATATTAATTAGGTGTATGGTGGTATTATAATTTACAGCAGTGTTTAAGGATTTTTTTCTGGACATTATCTATCATTCAAGATTAAATCAAATCAATAAAAACCACGATGTTTCGGAGATGGGAGTTTATCTCCGTCTTCAGGTAAAACCTACTCTGTTGGGCCCAATCAAGGTAGGTTTTACCTTAAGATGGATATAGACTCCCATTTCAGAAACATCATGGTTTTTTATTTTATTTAATCTTGGATGACGGATAATGTCCAGAAAACAATTTGCTTCAACAACGCACCTTCGTCACAAACTTTCAGACTTGAGCTACAACAGTGTTTGTTGGTTTTGTCATGGGTGTTTGCTTAATAGATTAATTGGATGTCTGAATGAAATAATACAGTATTTGGAAGGATAAAACAACACTGCCCACAGTTAGATGATAATTAGTAGGTTTCCACAGAAATGTTTTTCTCTGAGTTATGTGCTCGCTTGAATGAATTAAATATGAAACTGCATTGTTTAAGGAACCTGGTTGATGCCATATTCAGTAACATGACAGTAATTTAAGACAGACCAAAGTATACAGGGTTAGCACAAAATAACTGTACACTTTCAAAGTAATACAGAAATTAAATATGGCATGCTTAGACCTTGACATCTGCACCAGTCAATAAGAAAACTCTAAAGATTTGGTTTCAAATGAACGAAGTGATTGTTGTGCACCTCTGCTAGATGCCACATGTTTTGAAAATGGCTATGCCACAGCAGAGGAGTTCGTGTGTTCTGCCATTTGTGAAAAAGAGTGTGTACAATCTGTGCAGCATGCATTTCGCACACAATTTCACATGGAACCACCCAGCCAAGTATCCATTTATGCCTGGTGCAAATAATTCAAGCAGAAGCAACTTGTACTTGCAAAGGAAAGTCCTGGTCATCCCACTGTGTGTGATGCAGCTATGGACCATGTTCAAACTTACTTCCAACGCAGCACACAACAATCAGTGCATCGAGTGAGTCTTGAGTTTCAGCTACCACGAACAGCTGTCACAAAAATCCTGTGTGTTTACGTATGAAACTGTACAAACTTATTGGCCCAGGCTCAAACCAGAAGAGTTGACCACAAGATATGAATTCTATTGCGAGATCCTAACTAGGATTGAAATCGATGACTTGCCTACAAGGTTCATTTTTAGTGATGAGGCATCTTTCCACCTCAACAGTAAAGTGAACCAGTATAATGTTTGTGTTTGGGGAACGGAAAACACTAATGTCAGCTTTGAGCATGAAAGAAATTCACCAAAATTGAATGTGTTCCATGCTATTTCAAATGAGGTTTATGGCACCTTCTTTTTCATGGAAGGCACCACCACGGTTAACTTAGTCTTAAACCTAGACATGCCTACGTTTTAGCTTCTGCCCCAACTGAAAGAGGATTCTAATGACTTAATTTTCCCTCAAGATGGAGTCAAGGTCCTCTATTTGAGACTGCTGCATTCTCAGTTGTTAGTTTATTATTAGCGGAGAATAGGAAAACAGAGATTAAAAACTTCGGCTGTGTATTTTTAATTACACTTATTTGGAAGGTTTGTAAATTGGGTTGCAATTTGATAATTTTTGTTTGAGAGAGAATAAGAAGATAGGTAGGTAAGAGTTTATTAATATATCTTACATTGAAAACATACATTTGTTTTATTATATCTGCAATCTGTTGCTACATATATGTGGATGGTATGATTGATTATGCTGCTTGCATATTATGTGTAGTATCTCCATTTCAGCTAGGAGTATTCAGTTTTCAAAGGTGCAAACAATCCATTTAGAAACTGAGTTCCGGTGCAGGTTACACCTTTCCACTCTTGTGATGTATTCTGTACACATGAATAATGAAACTTCATATTTGTAATGACAGTCTTGTGAATATATATTCCTGTTGACCCAGCATTGTACTGATTATTGTCATGGCAATTTCTTTATTCACTAAAGAAAGTTGCTAAATGATGAAACTTTGGTGTACGTAGGTCACTTTATCACTATGAGGCGGTTGTGGTTGTCTTTGAGCCATGTGAGAGATGGAGAACTGCGCGGAACGATTTCATATTTCAGACAATATCAAAGTATGCAAACTGGAATTTATGGACCGGCATGAATTATTATTTGCAGAAGACTGTTCTATTTTACTTTAACACTGTATGTCAGATATCTGCATTAAGGAGTATTTGTTTATGTTTTTATACAGTCTGTGGACCACTGATTGAGAAACACTGCTTTTGTTTATGTTTTTTGATACCAGAAATGAGAAATTAATAGTGAAATGGATTTATTATTTTTACTACACATTTCAAATTTAAATACAGTTACTGAAATTTTTTTACATTGTGTTTTATTTTACTTTTCCACCAGGGAGGGAGCGATTGCTTGTAAAGCCGTCGTTGATGGTACTTATAATACTCATAGTCCTGTGTTTGCATCAGACGCATGGTGCAGGTGTCTTTACAGTTGATGACTTGGATTATTTATTTGGTGCAAATGGATGTATTGAAGGTATTGCGTTTCAGTTTCTTTTATTACATGTATATGTTTACAAACTGCCTCACTGTGTTGTGTTCATGCTTTTTCTTGAGTATATTGCCATATGTGATGATTATGCAGATGGCAGGATAATATTAAAATGGATCTTAGGAAATGGGGGGAAGCCATAGATTGGATTCATCTGGCTCAGGGTAGTTGCCAGTACCAGACTCTTGTAAACTTGGTAATGAACCTTTGGTTTCAATGAAAAGAAAGAGTGCTTCTAAGGTGGTTGTGTATTACCTTCTCAAAAATGACTCTGCTTCATGTAGTTAGATGCTTAGTTATGTGATGATCTTTATCCATATTAAGTTTTACACTTTTTGTATACATTATGTAATGCTGAGATGAAGATATAATCAAGTCACCATCCTTTGTTTTCATACTGCACATTATATTCAAAAATGTTGAATGAAGATATGATTATAAAGGACATACAAAAGATTAGTATCTCTTTAGCAGGGTTTTGTTTACATATTAGACTTCCATGTATTCATTGTTAATGGCTCAGTTTGTCCTTATTGAAACACACAAATGGTAAAAATGACATTGGAAGCTGTTATCTGGGTTTATTATTGTATGGTATTATTGGCAAACGGTGTCTGACATACATACTGAAGAAACAACTTAATCAAACGAGGTCATGCAGTTTATATAACCTGATCAGTTTGTTCCAGGTGTTCAGTGTAATCATTAACATCTGTTTTGTATTCAAGAAATTCTTGGCTATTAACTTCAATTGCCCAGAAAGTTGTATGTTTTTTCTCATTTCCTCTCAACAAGTGGCAGGTTAATGCCTAGAAACAGGTTATACCATATCCTTCCCATACATCTCACAGCACATCTTATGACATAATGATAACATTCAAATCCTGACTGGAGACTGATTAGTCTCACAGAAGTTGCTTAATTCCTTCTTAGAAATGCTGGATTAGTGCTTTGATATGGGCCATATACCTTCTGATGATAGCATGCTACTGTACAATTTAATTGGGTTTTCTGTGTATGCTTGAAAATGTTAAACCACTTTCCTTTCCTGAGTTTATAATAACTGCTGAAAGTGTTGTCCCTTCAGCATTTTAGAACTTTGTTTTACATTGGCATAAATTCTGTGATGCATGTTTAGAGGTTTGCCTTGTGTGTGTGATTCATAGAATAAGGCTCAGGAGTTCATTTTGTGAGGCATTGAAAGTATGCAGAATTTTGTGAACTCTCTTTGAATGTAAGATTTCAAGGTTTTATGGCATCAGAAATTATTGAAATCTCAGGTGATCATGCATGTGAGAATGGAGGTATGATCTGGTATTTCGGGGAGTCTATACCTTTTTCACCCTGAGTGATGAGTGGCATGACTGCACATGCATTTTTGCCCATGGCTGGTATTCAGTGTTCTGTATCCTTTTCCACACGCAGGCCAATAAGAACAGTCTCATCAGAGTCAGGCATTTTGTCATTCCCATCCTGACTCAGTTCACATTGCTTAGCATGGATGAACTTTTGGTCACAGTCAGTGTTGCTTAACCTGGATATCCAGGCTGCTGGCAGTTGGTGATCCATCCTTCAGTTGTTGCTTAATGGCCCTGCTTTAGTAGAGTATATTGGTGACTGGGTTCCAGGATTGTTATTTTCAACATGAAAAATACGATCAGTAGAGTTAAGAGAGCAGTGCAGCACCTTCCTATGGAGACAGCAGAGGAAATATGGTAGGAAACCTGCTGTATCCTAAAGCACTTCAAGGCATGGAAGAACAACACTGCTGAATGAGATGTAGTGTGATTGTTACAAGAAGATGAGGATGTCACTTTTCTGGCTGCTTATAAAGGAAATTCCCCTGTCATCATGGCTACCAGTGACAATGACAGTAGGAAGTGGTCTGTCTTAAATTACTCTACTTACATATAAATATTCCACTGGGAAGGTAGAAAGGACTGTGGCTGTCATCAAGATGTCTGTATTTACAGAGTATATAGTTAACTGCTGCCACACTCGTCAGCCTCACCATGTCTGTAAGAACTGCCAGGTGAATTGCATTGATACACTTACATATTGTCTGGCAAGGCATGTAGTATGTTTGCTGAGTCTAGTAGTGGGCCTGTCTGAACTCCATTTAAGAAATTCAGAGGACTTCATGCAGAAACTCCACAACGGAAACCTACAGAGCACTGATATTCAGATCAGTTTGATGTTGGCTCTCTGTTCACCAAGGTCTCGGTAAAGGATAGTTTATCTCTACTGTCAACGTTTTGAAACCAACAACATAGATCTGTTCCAACAGACTGTTACATTGACCCACTTCTCTACAGTAGGTAATTCTACCATCAGAGTTGCCATGGGTTTACCACTTCTCCAGTAGTGGGAAATTTTTGCATGGAGCATTTTGAGCAACAGGCATATTAAACATATGAATGGTGCATGTTTGAGCCAAGTGAATGCACACCTTTTGAGATAAGTGAAAGATGACTTGGGTCTTAAAGTCTCAGGCATATACTGCATCCAGTTGTGAATATGGCATGGTATAAATACAACTGATATGCTGCGCCATCGAGACAAGGTGTCATGAAAGTGTGTGGTACTTCCACCTATACCAACTGGACAAGTTAGCAGTGGCCAAGCACAATGTTAATGAAGGCCATCTCATCATCTTCAGTGACGTCAGGGCACTGGCCAGAGTACCAGGCTGCATGAATCAAATAATGAAAGAGGCCATTGAAATCTTGTTGCGTCCCAAAAGCTTCTATGGAGAGACAGGATTTAATCTGAGTTGACCCTGGAACCTAGCCCTGGTAAAGCAGTCATTAAGCAAGAACTGGAGGATGGTTGATCAACAGCTTTTAGCCTTGATATCCAGATTAAGCGGCATGGAGTATGTCAGCATGGAGGAGTGCCTTCCTGATCTGACACTTTCTTTTGGCCCACTTGTGAATGATACGGAGCTTCGAGAGCCAGCTGTGGATATAAATAAATACAGGTGCAGCTTTGCCCCTCACCACATCAATCCTGATGATTAGAGGCAGAGACAGTTTCCAGAATGTTGAATCACAATTCCATTCTGACATGACTGGTTACCCAAGAAGACTTATTTGTTCTCTGCTTCAAATTTCTTCACAAATACAAATTTGTGTAATATGATGGTCACGATCCTCTGTTGATTACGTGGTTATTGAAACAGTGATAATGTATTGCTATGCATAAAATGCTGGGACAGATTGTGCTTAAGGGATCAGGATAGTAGATGCATGCTGTATGATGTCCTAACTCTTTGTTCTTCCCTGCAGCAAATGAAGCAAAATTATTTTTATGAAAGTGCTTTCTTATTTGTAACACTAGGTTTATCTTTTCCATGAAATAATTGAGAAGCTTCTTGGGTAAACTACATACTTCAGCCTTATTTTAATAAACCATGGTCTGTAGATTGAAAGGATTAACTTGTATACCTCCTCAAATTTCTTCATCCTTTTAGCTATAAAACAAGGAAAGAGATTTTTTATGTTGTAAGAATTATGGTGTGGGAGCTTCATTCATAATGGCACTAGATGCTGTTGATTGACTTGAAAATGTCTGTGATGAAGAGTTATCACCCCAAACAAACAGAATTCTTTTGGTACAAGGCCTAGCAAGAATCGAGGTTGTAGGGGGAAACTTGTTAATGATTTGAAGAAAGAAATTGTGTGTTGTGGCACTATGTCTGGGTTTGGCATTGTGATAGTGTTGATTCATGGGGGTTGGAATTCCTACTACAAATCTGTGAGGAGCTTCTTCTACAGTTCTGCTATGTAGTTGTTCCCTATTTATCCACCCTTATGAATAGTGTGAAGATGGTACTGTAGCACTGCTTTTAGTGTGCTGTATATGTCCTGATTGGAGTGCTACTCAACATTTTGATATATGTATAACACTGATGTCATTTTTAAGGAAAGCTAAACAAGCAGTAAATGTGCTGGCACTGCCTACATCACCTTACAAATCCATGTAATAAAGATTGAGACATAGTGTGAACATACTGGGAAGCTGAAGAAAAGAACAAATTTAATTTTTCAGGGGAACTGAGAAAGTTACAGTGTTTCATTATTTGTTCTTGTACTTAATATTGTTATAAGCAGGCACAACTCAGTCATTATAGTGACTGATTACAGGCTGAACGACCGGGGTTCGATCCCCGATGGGGGCAGAGGATGTTTCCTCTAGACTCAGCGTCCAGACCGGCTGTGGGGCCCACCTAGCCTCTTATCCAATGGGTACCGGGGTCCTTTCCCGGGGGTAAAGCGTGGCTGGGGCGTGATATTGACCACTCATCCCCATCTTGTGCCGAGGTCAAAAATGAGTTGGAGCTATACCACTTCTCCCTCCAAGCGCCTACATGGCGCATAGTGGGACAGCTTAATATTGTTAGAGTGATTATACTGAGGATTAATATGTTCAGCTGGTCAAGAAACCCTCCACATTATATGGGACCTGAAAGTTTATTACCGTATTCAAAAGAGACTGGTAGATGAATCAAGCCCATGTCGTTGATCCATTTCCATAAGATCCATCTGTTGCATGCTTTACCCATCTCATCTACCCGCACAGTATATGGTGAAGAGTATAAGTTATGGAGCTCTGTATTTAGTAGGAATTCTGTTTTTGTTTCGGATATTCATGTTTGGCATAGTAAATTATCACCTGCGTTGTCCAGATGCTGATGTGTTCGTTCAATTCAATTTCAGCCCCTCTTTGTTTTCTTGGGCCATCTTGATTTCATACTCTAAAGAAAGGTTAGCAGTGGTGATGAAGCTATCTTGTTGTTTCAGACCATTCTGAATAGGAAATGTGTTAGCCAAATTCAGTTATTTTGCTTATACAGTGGAACCTTGGTATAACGTGGATTTCGGGGGACAGCTTCAGTACTAGTGTTATATGTGAAACTGACATTATCTAATTTTGGAATCCCTGATATGTATATTTGTCCAGTGTCTGAAGTACATGAAATTTAA